GAAGGCGACGAAGATTGGATACAAGAAATGTTGGCTCTTGAAGAGGATCCCATTCCTCCATCGCTTGGCGGAAGAGGGGGTGAATAGCAGCAACCGCCGTCTCCGATAGTCGATATTCATCGATTTCGTTTCGGTACTTCATCTCTATCGATTCAAGCTTGCTGGTCAATTCATCAAATCGTGCAAGCGTACTGTCTCCTTCGAAAATTTCCAGCTGCCCAACAGCGGTGATTAGGTCCGTGAGTTGATCAGTCTTGAGCTGATTGGTGTCCAATTGTTCCACGATCTGAGCTTCCTCCAACTCAACAAACTTCTTTCGCTCCGTCAGTCCTTTCCATTCATCGGCAAACGCTTCGAGGTCATTACGCGCTCGTCGTGCGATCTTCAACGCCTCTCCTTCGCCTTGATTGACAAACTCTAAAGGAGTCATCAGGCCGGCTGTGGAGGTCAGTACTCGCTGTTCCTTGCCAGTAGCATCAATCAGCGACTTTAACACGTTTGGCACCTCCAGACCATCCATATCCGCCTCGATTTCGCGTGCGGTCCTGAAACGAGGTTTCGCTCGAGGGACCGGTGTCCCCGTTCCACTCCGGCTCTCCCGTTGACGCTCTTCCTTCTTTTTCCGTCGTCTTTTCCGTTCTTCATCTGAGCTGTCCTCGACGACTTCGCCTCGCGCAGCCGCTTGTCGCTTCTCCTCCTCCCGAGCTTGTTTCGTCTTCTCGCGAACGACGCCCAACCCAGCGCCCATCGGTCGCGCTTGCGCCTCAATCGGGTTGACGATACCCTGGCCACTCGCACCCAAGCCTTGCCCTTCTTTGTAACCCATCTTAGCCATCATACGCGCGGCGAAAGAATTTCCTCCAGTGACGCCTTTGCTGGCATTGGCGTTTCCGCCTCTGGGGGCAGCGGTGGCTGACTGAACGTTGTTGTTCCAGGGATTGCGACGCGCACTTCCCAGGCCAAAAGAAGGAGGCGATTCAGAGCGAGAGGGAGCTCTCGCAAAGCCGCGAAAGCCTGTAGGAGGGCGAGCATCTTCCTCATCTGAGCTCATATCGACGATTTTACGCTTTTGGCCAGCGAATGACGAGGAGACCGGTGACTCCATGGCCGGTCTAACGGGGGCAAATGCAACAGAGTATTTCTGGAAGCCACAGCTTTTCGGCTTAACTGAGGGCGTATAAAGTGACGCGATTCAAATTCATGAAAAATCCATGGAGACGAGCTGGCAACGACGATGGGTGAACAGCTTCTCGAACAATCACAATACTGTCCTGTCCGTATCTGATTTCTTTCGTAATCGCTCGGGCGGTGTCGGGGCGGGGAAACGCGAGCTCCGAGGGGAGAGAAACAATGACGTTTTATGCTCGTCTCCTTCGAGCCGATTCTCCTCTCCTTCTCTCTTCATTCTTCTTTTGCCTTGAGAAGCATTGGAATAGTCTCCTGTCTGTCTCTTCCATCTCTTCAGTGGACGATATCAAATTACACAATGGCCGCCTCTCTCATCCGTACCTCTGCGCGTGCCGCCCTCCGCTCCGGAGCTTCGGCTGCTCCAAGAGCTGCTGCAGGCTTGACTTTTGCCCGCGGCAAGGCTACTCTGCCTGACCTTTCTTGTATGTTGGCAGCCCCCTCATCAATGCATTCCTTGTCTCAGTCTAGGAGTCCCCTTTCTTTGTCCAAAGTGGCACACCGACGCTATGTCCGAGCTACAGTCTCACCCATTACATATAACTACTAGCGTAGCATAACAATTGCAGGATCTTACTGGAGCTAACCATGGATAACAGACGATTATGGTGCTCTGGAGCCTTCGATCTCTGGCAAGATCATGGAACTTCACCACAAGAACCACCACCAGACCTATGTCAACAGCTACAACCAGGCCATCGAGCAGCTGCAGGAGGCTCAGGCCAAGAACGACATTGCGACCCAGATCTCCATCAAGCCCCTGATTAACTTCCACGGCGGTGGTCACCTCAACCACACTCTCTTCTGGGAGAACCTGGCCCCTAAGAGCTCTGGTGGTGGTGAGCCCCCAAGTGGTGCTCTGGCCAAGGCCATCGACGAGGCATATGGCAGCTTGGAAAACTTCCAGGGTAAGATGAACACCGCTTTGGCTGCCATTCAGGGAAGCGGATGGGCTTGGCTTGTCAAGGACAAGCAGACCGGAAACATTGGCATTAAGACCTATGCCGTAAGTGCAGGCATTCTGAAGGAATGAATCTCGGCCAACTAATTCTGGATTAGAACCAAGACCCTGTTGTTGGTCAGTTCCAGCCTCTTCTCGGCATTGACGCCTGGGAGCATGCCTACTAGTAAGTGGTCCTTTCTAGCCTTGCCGTCCAATGCCGGTCAACAGCAGCTGATGCAAACACAACTTTGCAGTCTGCAATACCAGAACCGCAAGGCCGAGTACTTCAAGGCCATTTGGGAGGTTATCAACTGGAAGGCTGTGGAGAAGCGCTTCTCTGCGTAGACTATCTCAAAAGCATTGTATGTTGGCACAGCTTGACACAGCTTTGATTGGAGCGTTCTTTTGTTGGTTTGTGTACGTGTGATATTATAATGATTTCCTGTATCTGTCTGCATTGGCTGCGTTAAGATATAGCCCTAATCAACAAATGCACCAATCCATTGCTTCCATGACTTTGCAACCTTTACCTCATAGATTGTAGCCATAATATGACATCGGTCACTCTCAGCCTGTAGCTCTCCGGATAGTCGCGGATATAATCTCCCGTAACAGCCGGTATTGTTACCGTACTGAGCTCTTGACAGCATCATCGAAGCCGGTCCGCAGTATGACCATCACCATCAACTCTTCAACTACATCGCATTCATTGCCCGCCGCCTTTTCCAGCGGGATGTCTGCAGATAGCCCGGGACAGAAACACGGCTTTCGAGCCTTTCTCGCAAACGCTCTGCGACCGAAGAAATCCCGTCAAGTTCTCCGCAAGAACACCGCATCTACACCAAACCTCCGAGCGGCTGCACAACCGAGCATTGCCAGCGATGAAGTTCCTTCTCTTGCGCCATTGCAGGCTCATCGGATCAAGTATCAGGAGAAAAATGCACTGGTGGATACCCAGCTGGGCGAGAATCGCGACCCTACGGCTATGCTACATTCGATAGGCATTCTTGATACGGAAGATTCGGATGGCTTCGCATCGGACTTACAAAAAGACAATCGGCCTCCGGGGGAGCCGCTGGTTGCAAGCTTATCACAAGATCTTTGGGCGCTTGTTGCAGAATACCTCAATCCGGCAGACCTAGCCAGCTTAGCATTTGCCAGCAAGACGCTTCTCCTCCGCCTGGGCCGGGGGCCCTGGATGGCCCTGAACCTGCCCGAAAACCGCGAGTACAGAATCGACTTCCTAGTCACACAGGACCGATACCTACCCCATCATCTCCTCTGCATGCCTTGCGGCAGGTACCACCGCCGCACGCAGGAGGGCCACGAAAGACTCGAGCCCGCAACGGTCGTCAACCCGCTCTACAACTGCCCGAACGCCCGCAATCCCTTGCTCCCCGCACCACGACACCGCATCACCCACGGCCGCATGCTGCACTTCACCTTCGTGCAGCTCACGCTCCGAGCCCACCGGTTTGGCCCCGGATACGGCATCCCCCTCGAGTCCCTCTCCCGTCGCTGGCGACGGGACGGCTGGTCCCACCGCACCCGGTACCACATCCACAAGGGCAAGTTGCTGATGCGGGTGGTGAGCTCGACCTTCGCAGACCCCGACCTCGCAGTCAGCTCGATGCGCCTGCTCCTCTACTCGCGCGAGGACTACTGGCCGTATTTCTCCGCATGCGCGCACTGGCGCGACGGGGAGCTCATGGACGTCTGCAAATGCGCGCTGGGCCACGTCCCCAAGCCCCGCGCGACGGCGGGCCTGCAGGGCCTCGAGCACCGCGCCAAGGACATCTACCACGGCCGCACGTACAACCCCAACGAGTTCGCGACGCTGTGCGCCAAGTGCCGCCCCATGCGCCGCTGTCCCGACTGTCCGTCCGAGTACCTGGTCGAGGTCAAATTGACCGAGGACCGGACCGAGCCGCGGAGTCTGCGGTTCCGGCACGCGATCGTGGTGACCCGGTGGTGCGATCTGGGCGATGGGACCTCGCCGCATGGATCGCGCGAGTGGGCTGCGTGTAATGGCGATCTGACCGGGTATGACTCGTTTGAGGCGCTGGGGAAGCGGTCTATCTCCGGGGTGTTTGAGTCGGCGTTCACGGATGATACTCTACCGGGGCAGAGGATCGTCTCGATGAATCCGAAGGGAAAGAGGCTCGGGGAGGCGGGGAACAGCTGGTACTGAGTGCTTGTGTCCTTTTTCTCCTATGCACTGAATTTTTGGGCTCTTGTACGACTTCGATCATTTGTCATGGCGTATGAAAAAAAGGAGTATGGTTCGGATAGGTTTGGCTACATTATGGGGTTGGATAGACTGGGTTTCATTTTCTGGATTGTCTTACAAACGTTGACTTGAATACGAATAATCTTGGCTACCTCAATAGTCGACAAGCGAGATCGGAAATAAAAATGGTTGTCTGCTGGACAAGCTCGCCCTTGAAGTTAATTGAAGACATTATCATGTGCGACTTTTGAAAAAGCAGAGAACAGGTCATACTGAAACAAGGCTCGCCGTGCAAAGCGTACAAGGGGACATGAAGATCATTTGTATGAGTTGGCAGGCCCGCTGAACCACAACCAGGACAAAAAGCAGAAACACGCCCAAATGCTTAGTATACCGCCTGAGATGTATCATAATTCGATAGTAAATAAATGCTTGAATTCCATGAAAACCCGTCCATGCAATCGGTAGTGGTACAGTCCCACATGAAATTATTTGAACAAAAGAGCCCGGGGTATCAAAGCATATCGTAAACCAAGCAAGACATGTCGACAAAAAGTCATGCATGCGATCAACTTAAAGTAGATAGGACGGGTCGTGTACTTCCGGTTTTGGGTACTTTCTTTCATTGCTCCGCCGTATCTTTCAAGGTCGACGGATTCTTCGCTCAATATATCGCGGCCGGCGTGTCATATCGTCATCGTCTTGCTTTTGAGGCTTATGTCTGGCGGAAGCTGAGATATCCTGAAAAGCTCCATATGCACAGACGCTCTTTGCTACATCGGGCAGGGCATTTGAGCTGTCAGGGCCCCATCGAGAAGTCAGCCGTTCCTTGCTGATAGCCTGAGTAGTTGCCGTCGAGTCGGCTCCAGCTTTCTTATGATGAGAACCACTTCCGCTCGAGCCTTTAATCCAACCAAAGCCAAAGATGCCAAGGGAGCTCCGTCTCTTATGGCCCTTGCTGGCGGACGTTGATGGCCTGGCCGTCGATGAGTGTGACCAGAAGTTCGAATCCGTGAAAGAATGGGGAAGAGTCCTGCTGGGGCTGTTTGCACTATTCCCAGCAGCGTAGGTAGGTGCCGATGCGCAAAGCTGCCCATGAGCCCGCTGTGGAGAATCCGCGGTCTCAACGATCTTGGTTATTTTGGGCGATTCCATGTGCCTGGTCTTGCGGATGACAGGGGAGGGCGCACCGTCACCACTGTCCTCTGAATCAGTTATTGGAGATGGCTCAAGACGACGAGGCTGCGCCAGACGGCCTAGGAATGGTGGCCGAAGATTGATCCGTCGTCGGTGTTCCTGTCCTTGATGTGCAGGCTGTGTATTTGTGTCTGATGGAGGCAAGGGAAGTGTGGGTATTGCTGGGACGTCCGGGTCTCGGACAGTCGAGTCAACACTATGCCTACGAGCGAGGAACGCGGATTGGCTTGGAGCCCGTGTCCCGGCAGCTTTAGAAGGATTCGGCGGGAGGCCGGTATAGGTCTTAGTCTTTGAAGACCAATTCTTCGTGGGCCGAGGACCTGGCTTTGCCGCCTCGACCCAGTCTTGAGGAGTCAAGGGCGGCGATAGAGATGTCATGTCTGCTGTTGGCTTTTCAGTCATGGGGGCTGGCGGAGAGTAGTAGTTCTTCTCCATCTTCGATATGACTTTCTCAATTCCCACAGGGTTGAAAATCACGTCATCAACATCGCTGAAATAACGCATACTTGGTTTTGGAGAAGCTCGATCAAACATGTAGTTTGTCTTGGATGGGATGCCGTTCAAGGGAAAGATAGCCGGGGTCGCTTCGCGCTCTTCAATACTAAGACGAGTGAGAGTCACCTCACTCAGAGCAGGGTCGATTCTTTCCAAGGCTCTATGATCGGAACTTCGCGTAGTCAGCTCGCCCGCAGATGGTGGCCGGCCAAGTTTTCGGGGGCCAGGGAACTGCTGGTTAAGCTGAACCTTCTCCCTAGCGCTACTGCCATTGGATCTATTCGTCCCCGATGCATAGGCCGTACTCATTGTGTCCGGGGTAGGGGGTAACTTTGACCCCCCAAAAACGTCATCTAACCGTAGCTTCTGGCGAGGGGCACTTGAGAACATGCCTTTTTCGAAAGTGCAGTTCTTAGCTTCCCTTGAAGCGTTAGTGTGGGCTAGGTCCTTTTGTTTTGGGATGGTTCTTGTCGGAAATAATTCCACTTGAGGCTGATGCCAGCTAGAGCTGCGAATGTGTCCGCTTGCCCTCACTTCGCCGTTGGGTCTCGGGGCAGTCGCACTTGTTCCCATTTTCCTTTCCTGGTGGATAGGAATATCAACTTGATTGAAAAGGAGCGCCTCCTTTATAGTGTCATAGGGCATGAGCTCGCTACATTCACTGAGAGCACTCAATCTGGGGGACTCTGGTTCGATAGTTTCAGTCATCGAGTTCATACTCTCCGTCTTCGTCATAGCGCTTCTCGCAGAGCGTGAATGATGTTCAGAGGTAACGTAGAGACTGCGTAGAGCTGCGGTGCTCTGATGCTCTTCACGGAGGAATGAAGGAGCCCTGGTGAGAGGTCGACTTCCCGAAGAAGCTCGGTGATTGTCCGCTAGCAGGGTGCCTTTCTTAGAGGAAGATCTCTCCGGAATATCTGGAGTGACACAATGCTTAGGTGTGGCTGCGTCTGGTTCATCGCTGGACGAAGGACGAGCTGTAGAGGGTCTGGACGAAAATGCACCAGCCTCCAGCTCCTCCACTCTCGCTTCAAGTTGACAGATTAACTCCACGGCTTCTGTGACCGCCTGGTCTCGCTTATCGATCTCTTGTCGGAGCTGCTCGTTGGACTCGCGAAGTCTCTGATTGTCCTCTTCAACATAACGAAGCTCTTGCAGTTCCTCTTCTAGATTGCGCATGCGCTGAACGTCTTCCTCCAGCTGCTGCATACGTTCCAGTTTCCTCTCCAAGACGGCCATCTGCTGTGCGCGATGGAAGATGTCAAGTTTCAGGTCAAAATTTTGTTTGTTAATCTTCGAAATGTACTGGCTGGGCGTCAATTTGTGCCTTGAAACATATGACTTTTTCGTGGGTAACTTACTTGGTCCATCTCCCTGAAACCCATCTCACGTGGCTGCTTGAGACCCGCCGATAATGCGGCATTAATCTTGCGTTGTCTCTCAGAACCCGCATCTTCCTGGGACTGGGACTGAGACTGGGTCTGGGACTGGGATTGCGAGCGTTCGGGCGTACGAGGCATGTACTCTGCACAGTCGTCTGGAGGAGGACCGCGCGAAGCTCGAGTCGCACGTTGCTCTCTTAAAAGGTCTTGTAAAAGAGTAGAAGAAGGGTTCACTAAAGGTGTAGAAGCAGGTTCCGGGGTTCCTGTCGCACACAACAGTTGTCAGCATTTTCTTGTCCGTGGTGCTACAGCTTTGCGGAGTGCAAGAACAGCTGAACTATAACTCGTACCTGATCTGGAGCCATGATTCCTTCGTGCGGCACGAGGCGTTCCAGCCAATGGAGACTGGTCGTTGAACCAGGACGTTTCTGTGTACACGCATCAGCACTAAGAAACTCTTGCAGAACTCAGGCACGTTTTACCAGAATTCAATTGCGACGGACTATTCATAGTGGACGTGCCCTTGACACGAGCAAGCGCTGCAGGAATTGGGGGATCGGACTTGTCTGTGGAGCACAGCAGTCAAGTCAGTTCTTTTGTGTATTCCAAACGCGACTTGCTAAATCAAGGGCAGACTTACTGTTTGAGCGGTGTCTCAGGAACGCTGCACAGCGAGCAGGGATAGGGACAGAGGAAGACGGATCGAAGGAGTGTCGCAGGGAAGAAGGGGCAGTCGATTGCACGGAAATTGTGCTACGCCGCTGGGGTTTCGAATCCATGCTGATGAAAGATAGACAGGAGCCACTCAGCTAGCTAGCTAGCACAATGCAGGATCCAGACTAATTTGCAACAGGACGGCCAGCCGTGTGTCCTCCAGGGACGGTAGAACTTTACATCAAATTGGGGCAATCACTTCATCGATCGAGCAAGGGTTGACTCAAAGAGCTCTCACGATACTGGCAGATTGACGATGCGAGGGGCGCAAACTTTGAGGCTGGAGACGCAATGGTCAACGAGGAAAAAGACCTGTGGGTTCAGCTAATGCAGCAGAGGAAGATGGTGATGAAAATGGGGAAGCACAGAAGAATACTAGAGGGTGTAGCCTCTCGGCGCAATATCAAGTGAGGGGAAGATGAAGAGGGATGGTGACAAGCGCCTGTGACGAGTCAACTGCGAGGTCTGTGAATCTTCAAGCCAAGCAAGAACGAAGATTCGCACGAAGTGAGTGACGGGCGATCGTCAATCTGAAGTCTGGTCGGGGAATGTCAGAGGTTGCCATGCGACCGATTGTTATGCATTCAAGCAGCGGCTGATCTATTGATTTTCATCCCTTGAATTGCGTTTGTTGTCACTCTTCTTCGTATTGTCGATATTCATCCCCATACTCAGAGAAAACAGACAGTTGAGTCCGTCACTATTCACTTCTGCTGGCAGGATATCGATTTTTGGAGGAAAGTGAAGCTCTGCCCTCAGTTCTCCTCCCTGGAGATCAAAGAAACCACCAATGGGGTTTCATCTCTTGCCAATCAGCTGTTGTAAAATGCCTAAATGGTCTTTGGCGTTTCTTGCTAGTTTCCACTAAAGAGTAAGCACTGACACTAAGGTACGACTAAAATTATATAGCCGTTCATCCTCTTATCGATTACCATCTTGAATGGTTATGGGACGAGATACCACGAAGTCTGGCATACAGGAGCAGTATTCTATGGTCATCAACTCACACATATCCCTTGAACTTGATTTAAAGTTGTGATGTTCGCAGTGATATGAATGTGTACTCCGTGCCCATGATATAATTCCTTCTAGCTCAATTGCTCAAGTACCTCTCTACGGAGCAGCAAAAGGAATACGATGTATACATCATCTCAAATCCTGGCAGACCCCACAAGGCGGGACGAACCACAAGTTGCCCATGTGCGGTACGCCAGACTTATTGACCTTCAATAGACGACTGAACAATGATACATCTGATTGATTATTCGGCAAGAGGATCTGCCTGGCTAAGGTACTAACTAGCATGGCCCCATCCCTCGTCGTGGCATTTGCTTCGACATATATTCAGCCACGGTTGCGCTCAGATAGTTACAACATGCTCGGATCCAATTGTGTAACGACACCAGGGTTGTTCATCCATCCCATTGAGACTGATCCCACGATGACATTGCGGTGCTCTTCCCTGGGTTTACTGAAGACAATTGATGGTCCCCTGGAGCAAGCTATTTCAATGATGTTCTACTCAAAGAACCTGTCAAATTTGATATCAAAACAATACAGACAACAATGACGCGCATGGAGGCTGGCATAATATGAGCCAATCTCGAGTCAAGTTGCTCGAAATTGGAACTGATTGTTGAGACTGTGCTGGTATTTTAGGGCTCATGCTGTGAACGTCCTATCGCATGCACCAACTGAAATGAGATCATAGAATCAATTTCTTGCATTCCTATTATGAACCAGTCTGAAAAGTTTCTATCATTAAGAGCGAGCACAGCTCAGCCCTTTGCAATCTTTTTGAGATTGAATCTATCATCTCTTCTTGGCCTCCCCTGCCCAGATTCGTGTCTCCTTTGCACTATCATGGGCCACGCGGAACACTAGTTGAAGATAGTCATTAGCCGAGAATTGCATGACAGGGGATAAATTCGCATACACTGTCTTTCCGTCTCATCAAGACCCCGAAGAAAATCGGCACCCTCCCCTAAGGCGCCTTTGGGGTTATGCGCGTGGTCAGCAATCTCCGCCGCGCGCTTTTTGAACGTCTATCCAGACCAAAATTAGCAGAGAAACGTAGGGGAATTCGTCAACTCCACACGGCGCGGTAGATTTATACGTACATTGATCAGGACCTCCACCATCTCTTCCTCTTCAAAGAGGTCGAGCACCCGCTCGCTCAGACTGTAGAAGTGCGGTGCCAAGGAGCGCAGATCGACGGTTCGAGGATCGGCTTTCAGTGCATTCACGACTCTGTCTGATAATGCTGAGGGGAGGTCAAGTGTAACTAGTCGTGAAGTTCCCAGACGTGCTCTTTCTTCGGAGTTAGCGAGGGTCTGCTTCATCAATAGCACATGTCGCGCAAGATCCTGACCCAATTGACAACATCACCCCCAGCCATAATGGAAGATCAATCCGAGTCCCTGCCTTAATCTATACAATCGTCAAAATCTGATTCCTTCTCCTCGGGCATCGTTACTCACATTTTCCCCAGGATTGCCCTCCAAGATGCCAAGCCCGGGCACCTCAAGTTCAAATGTGCAGGGCAGTTTCTGGTATGCAATCGTTAGATCAAGAAATCATTGTCAAGGAACCGACTGTCATACTTGAGCGTCTGTCAGAATGGAGTCAACATCATAGTAGGACATTTCGAAGTCTTCCCCGAGTAGCCCGATCGTCAAGATGTCGTTCTAAAAGCAATGTCATTAATTGTGATCTATCTTGGACTGCGGCGCGTACCATTGTCGCGTCATCACGTGATGCTTATACTTAGATTCGTCCAGTGGTATTTCTTGGCACTCCTCCTCATAATCATTTCGGCTCACTCAAGAGCGTCATGCTGATTCTACGGAGTAGGGTTGACAATCTCGTGGCGAAAGTTCTTCGACATCTCAGAATCAGCTGAAGGCGTTACACGGTACTCCTCGACTTATGTTCAGTGGGTGCTCTGCTACTGCCCGAAAGACATGTTTGCCGATCTCCGACCATCTCCAGCCGTACCAGGCTTGTTTAATTTCAGAAAACTCCTTGCGTCTATACGATGGACACGAACTCGGACGGTACCAAGAAGCATCTGTTAGAAAGTTACGAGGAGCTTGACTTGGACGCGGCTTTTGATTCTAACTATCTCGTTGTATAGCGCTGGATGGCTCGAACCATCCCAGAACTATATGCATCCCCGTCAACATGTAGTTAACAAGGAGAACCCTGAAGAAAGTCGTTTATTGAATGCAGATCCTGAAGTCAACGACGGATGAAGAACAAACATCTTGCAGCTTGAAGAATCTGACAAGTGAACTCAATCTTTTTGAGGATGTCTCACTCTTTACGGTACACCGTACGGAGAACCGAGGTCACGATGAACCCATGTGGACATTTGATTTTTTCGTCCCTTTGCCTTCATCACAAACTTGAGGGGATTCTATTGAAACAGTCGCGGGTTTGGGTTGAATCGAGATGGGCGGGGTCGATGTAGATATAGAGATTAGACGGTCAGAGAAAGAAAGCACGAGATCTCGGTTCGAGGAAGAACGGTTTTGTTACCATTTCAGGACGAACCTGGAGGTCTAGAACAGGGGATTTTCAGGGCCAACCATATGGTGTTTGCTATCTAAAATAGTGCGACTCCACCAGGCAGTCAGACTCGGACATGTCTTACTAGTACCTATTTCATGGATTCAAATTGGAAATCATCTTAATGCCGTGGGCCTTGAGCTGATGATATCCAGATAGGTACGGAGCATGACCATGCCTTCTCTATGTAGCTAGACGACACTTGTTGAGATAGCTCAGCAGGTAACACCACCAATAGTGCAGAATACAGAAGCCTATCATGGTATCAATCCAACAACGCAGCGCATTATATAGTTCTCTGAGCTTATCGCTCGAATCATGTCTGGTTCCTGAATCTTAACACGACGGCGTAAGTGCGGAAAACGAGGGACCATTTCTCTGATTTCGGACAGATACTGATCTATCTCGAGACAAATCTGTTGCAATCCGTCTTGTCCCCCGAATTAATGTGCAGCCATGCAGTCTGATTTCCATCATCCACAATCTCAGCATCCTCTGTGTGCAGATAAGATAGCTAACGCTGTTGGTTCGTGTCTCCAAGTCATATCTACCATCATCGCATGGCTTGGCGCTGGGTTTTAAATGCGTGCATCTACGAGTACAGAGTACGGATAATCGGGTCTAGTCTAAGTATTTAGTTCTTGTCCGCTGATTTTACTGGCTAGGAGGCATCTACTATCTTGAGACTAGGAGCAGCTAGGCACATCTGCTGTGTTCTAAGAAGTCAAAAAAGGCCACCCTTCTCCAGTTCCTTGTTTTTGAGAAGACTGCAGTAAGTATGTGGCTCTGCCTACATCGTACCCTGCAAGAATCTTCCTTCTGCTCCATTGTATGCATCTTCGAGTCAGTCACATCCATATACTAGCTGGAGATAGCCATCATTCTTACCTACCTACCTTATGGATTTTAGGTAAGGTACCTAGATACCTAAGGTAGCTAAACCCGTACATGGGTTGTAACAGTGTAATAACCTAGGTATGATGCAAACAGTATGGGAACTAAACAGGTACCACATCAAAGTACCTATGGATAGTTCCCCTCCTCGTCCAAATATAGCACTGAATACTGACAGCCGGAGTCAAGGTGTTACAATCCCATACATACCTACTCCCATACATACCTACTCCCATACATACCTACCTACATACGTCGCTGGAAATTTAATTTAATTTAACATGGAACGTTCAGTCAGTCAGTTCATTCTTCTCCATCCATCCATCTATCTATCTATCTATCTACCTCTTCTTCATCTTTTTCTCTTTCTCCTTTGTTTACTCCTTTAGAAGCTCCCTATTACTCTTTTCTTTTCTTTTGCTTCCACTGGCCTACCCTCCTTTCTACAATCTCAGCTTTGCCCCCTGTCTTTCTATTCCTCCTCTAACCTGATCACTCACCTCCCTTGAGAAAGTATTGCGTCTGATCCCCTCCTGTGCACTGCTGCATGAGGGTTGCCTTATCTTTTTCAAAAAAACTCTCAAGCAATTATCGATAAATC